GGGCGAAATCGAAGGTTGACGATTCGCCATTGATTGTGACTGTGGTCGGAGGTTGGTGCCTGGTGGACTACCGGCTGCTGGTGCTGGTCTGCTGGAGCTTCGAAATCTAAGCAAAGGTAAGAATCTTTTACAGTTTTACCACCTATTTACCACTTTCAGTCAGTTGCAACTCGTAAGGGAATGGATGAAATTGCTTATATTTAGCTTGCATTTTTACTTCTATGGCATTTTCATCTTCTTCTTTGTAAGGTTAGGAATTAGGACTTAGGTTAGGACTTAGGAGGCAGCCCGCTGCCTGCCCGTCGTGCCCGAGACTAGGAGCCAGTAACCAGTCCAGGTAGTTAGCACTTAGCACGTAGCAATCTTATGTAATTTTGGGTTGTACTGAAATATATTTTTATATGTATATACTTTTTTATGTTTTAGTGCATTTAAATATGTATTGAATTATATTTTCAGCTATAACGATCGGTCACGGGTCAACGGTGGATTCGCCCCTGCCCAGGAGGAACAAACAAACCTTAAATAAGAACCCTAATAGCTTTCTAGTTAAGACTTAGTCCACTGGTTACCAACTCTTTCAGTAGTGATGACGTCCTACCGGTTTACTTCATTTGGCTTCCTGAAGCACCCCCTTTTCTTCCAAAAACGTGAAAGATGCTCTCTCATTTTACATTGTGTACGTATACGAAGACACAAAACAATGTTACTAAGTCAGATGTGTGGTTAACATTCAACTAGATGGTGATTTGACTTATATCAGTCTAGTGAACCTGCATCTACGGGCAATATGTGTATCTGAGGATAGCAGAAGCCTAATAGGATTTTTTAGATTAAAGCAAAAAATAGGGCATTATTTGCTCAATCAATTTCTTATTGATAGTTGGCCTGCTCCTGATTTAGCATTGCTATAGGTGGGACAAGCCCTGGAAGTCTTCTAAGCCACTGAACCCACTGCTCAAACCCCATTTCCAAATACTAAAGGACATCTATATTAAAGAAGCTTATACCTTCCAACTTGACTTTGAATCCCCTGTTTTGGTCGATCTAAGCATTTCATTTAGTAATCCTGCAAAAAGCATATGGATCGTAGGTAAAATAAAACAAAAACTTCATAGATTCTCAATCACCAAAACTGGCAACAGTTGTATATATCTGCAAGTGCCTATCAACTCCAAGTAATTAATATAAATAATAAAAGAATAAGACCACAAAATATATAATTTCAGTTATCTGAGAATGAAATAGTATCCAAATGGTCATGAAAGCCACAACAAAATAGCATGATTCACAGGTCGAAATCTATGGAGAGTATAATTTAAGGAGAGATAATTTCAAATAAATTGACAACCTTTTTGGAGTACCAAGTCAAAATATTCATGCAAATTGAAACCCTTGCCAATGTTGTCAGGGTTACCGAAATGTTCTTTTACCATAATTATCAATATATTTGGTAAACACAGTATGCTATAGCAATCTTACGATCACAAGATGTATTCTTTAGCATTTCTTTAGTGGTTCACAGTTTCCACACAAGGCACCAAGAAAGTGCAATAATGATAATCCTTGTCACCGGTTAATGCTGGCTCGGCCCTTAAAGCCACGAGCTCGGCTTGGCTCGTGGAGAAACGAGCCACGAGCTCACGAGCCGTGCAGGCTTGTTTGCTCGTGGATGAGCTCGGCTTGTGGCTCGTTAAAATTATTTTTTAATTTTTTTAATGATTTTTCCCGAGCCCACGAGCGCTTGTCTCCTTAACGAGCCAAGCTCAGGCTCGGCTCGGCTCGTCTAGCGAGCGGCCCGCTTAGCTCGTGCGAGCCCGAGCGGCTCGTGGATCTTTACAGTACGGTCGCTCGGCTCGATTGCCACCACTAGTTAATGATGTAATTTTATTCATAACTCGTCAAAGAACTTAGGGTGAATTTTTAAACAAAAGAACTTGTGTACTTTCTTGCAGTTGTTTCCAATGAAATAGGAGCTGGTCTTTTCCAATCCTCATCAAAATGTTGAGAAATTCAAATTATGCGAATTATCAAAAAAAGAAACAACTATGACAAACTAAGTATAAGTCTTTTTCGCAATACAATATGCCAAGTTTTGCACTTAAGGATGAGAAATTAGTGATTGATTATAGTTACCAAGCTGTAGAGCATGCATACCTACTACTAATGAGATTATTGCAATTGCGATGTACATGAACAAGTAATAAAGAATTTCTCTTCTTGTCTGTTATCATGTTACTCATGGAACTACCCTCTAGCATTCACACTACTCTATCCAGAGATTCTTTACAAACTTCCCCGCATTGGAACTCCAGCCATCCACTATCAGGTGGAACCTGTTTATAATCGGTAAAACCACTTTTATCCACAACTTTTATTCACGCATTTTCTCTTAGCTTTTGTTTGGCAAGTTGCTTTAAGTTTTTGTTAGGACAAAACTATTGTCGAAAAAGAGTTTTTAAAATTCAAAGTGTAAAGTCGTAAGTTGTATAGGTGATTTAGAAGCCCTAGGGTTCGAGTATGAAACTTTGAGAAAAGAGTCGCCGCAATTTCGTTAGCCTATCGCCCAGCTGACGCTTGAGCGGTAAAGACAGAAGTTGTGTCACCTGCCTGTCGTCTAGACCTTGCTCAAGCGATAGTGTATCCCGAGAAAACCTAATTTGCGTTTTTTCAAGATTTTATTCGGTCCATACTATTCAAAACCTCTACACTATATATATCCATGCCTCTATTCGAAAAATGTGTGTTAAACATTGAGAGAAACAAGAGATTACTTCCTATATAGTTCAACCTTCTTTTTTATTTCTTTATAACATTGAAAAACATCAACTTCACGTATACCAAACACCAAAACACATACTTCCATAACATCTGTCAGAGTTCTGAAGATCAAAAAAGGTGACCGGAGTTCCGATTGTTGGAAAACGAGGAGTTTTCATTGATGCAAAGGACATAGACGAATTCAGAAGGTCAGGAGTTGGTGCAGGAGCACGCAATCCAAGAGAGCTTTGGTGATTACAATCAAGAGGTCAGAAAGTATGTAAATTCATTCGTCTATAGTGAACTTTTGCTGGTTTAGGCCCGGAGTTTTTAACCCCGTTACGGGTTTTCTTCGTCAACAATTTTCAAGTGTTATTTATTTTTCAGTAATTTATTAATTGTGGTAATTCAACATATGATAGTAGTGCATGCGAATTCATCTGGATTAATTAATGACTGTGACTTGTTGCATTTATTAATTAGTAAATTTAAATTCTGCATAAATACATATTCACCCTCTCTAGGTGTTAGTTGAGTTGAACTTCGTTATTTTTGTGATGTTGGAACTGGGTTGTGGGAATGGTAATGGGCCAGTCAGAGAGAGATTTATTTTCAAGCTTATACTACATTAAAAAGCTTATTTAAAAGGGCATTCAATAATTAACTCAGTTCCGATTGAACCCTGAAGCTAAGCTGAGTCAAACAATCATAATTTCAAATATTTGAATGATTCAGAACTATCTGGTTCAAAAGTCCTTTACTTGCACAGCTACTTTTATGTATAATTATTTATCAGTAGAGTTAAGAATATTAATTTCTGTTGATTCTGTGGATTAATTCTTGATTTGATTTCAATACGTGCATATTAGGCCTAATGGCGTTGTTGGGGGAAAGAAGGAGCTTGGTGGCGGAAAGGTTTTATTAAAGAAATTAAAATGTCAAAAAAATGTAGCTTTTGATTGCTTAATCTGTTAATCATATTCTAGAAATGAGATTGATTACATATGTAGTCCATACTTCCCACATATTTCTTCAATGCATCAGGTTTTAAAAAACCAGGTAGGAGGTTACGCATTTTAAGTGATTCTTCTTGACTGAGGTTTGTAGAGTTGTAGGAAAAAATTTCTCAACATTTCTTGGCCACCAGGAAGTTACAAGCTTTTTTTCATTTGAAAATAAGAACTTATTTCCAGCAGGTCCACATAGAACTGCTGTTTTTTCACCAAGTAACAAAGTTTTGAATATATCGGGTGGAAATTTATTCATTCTCTTTGCAAAAAAAATTTCTTTTGCTACACTTGTTAAAAAATGATTATGTTGAAGGGCCTTATAATAATTAGTCGTCCAGGGCCTCTAAATTATCAGGGCCGACCCTGCCTTCTCTTTTTCCTTTTGCAAATTGATAAATCAACAAATTCGTACAGTTTTTGTTGAACGAAATTCCCGAATTTCTGATTTTTTTTAGAGAGAGAGAATTGGCGACCTTTCGAAACAGTGATGTGATTATTTAAAGTGATAATTGTAGTAGCGGTACCAAATATTTCATTTAATAGCAGATTTTGCCCAAACCTTTTATTTGTGTCATTCACGATACAAAATCTTTCAAAAATTAGCACATGGAGTTCAAATAGATGATTTCTGTTAGTTTGACCATTAGTTGATTAGATAATTGATCTTGACAATAATTTTGACTAATTTTAAAAGGTTAAAATGGTAACTTTACATTTTTTTATAATAAAATAACTAAAATCAAATAATGAAAATTAAAAACCAAAAATCAACTTCTTTTTCTCCATCCACTCCACACATACCCACCCTCACCCCAAAACCATCACCACCACTACCGGACGGCTCAATGGCACCCACCCAAAGCCGGTGTCGGTGCCGTCTCCTCTACTGCCACCTTCATTCCCATCACCCAACAAATTTTTTCTTCCCTATTTAATTCAATGATCTAAACAAGAACTATAATAAGGCATGATCGCAAAATACAGTAAGATGCAAATAAACGATGACTAGAAATAACGGGAAATCATTCAAATTGAAAGGAAATAATTTGTAATTTCAAAACAAAAACATTCTAATTTCAATTATGGGACCCTATTCTTGGTTCTGGGTGTGGGAATGTGCCTTATTAACAGTTTCTCTGAGAAGAATGGGGTTGAAAGGCGGCACCACCACTTTCATCAGCTGCTTTAGTGGGGTTCTTCAACATCTTCTACTTTTTTCAAAACTATAGAAGAATCGAAATTTGGATTATCTCTCTCTCCCTCTCTCTCTGTCTCTCTCTCTCACACACACAGAGTAGTTTCTCAAATTGAGTACAGCTGGGGAGTTGAAGAAGGTCAACAAGAAAAAGTCATTTGTTGGGTGATGGGAATGAAGGTGGCGGTGAAGGAGATGGCAATGCAGTCGGCGTTGGGTGGGTGCGGTTGAGTCGTCCGATAAAGGTGGTGATAGTTTTGGGGTGAGAGTGGGGATGGGTATGTGTGGGGTGGATGAAGAAGAAGAAATTGGTTTTTTGATTTTTAATTTTAATATTTGATTTTAGTTATTTTATTGAAAAAAATGTAAAATCACCATTTTAACATTTTAAAATTAGTCAAAATTATTGTCAAGGTCAATTATTTGGTCAACTAAGGGTCAAACTAATAGAATTCATCCATTGGACTCCATGTGCTAATTTTTGAAAGGTTTGGTACCGTGAGTGGCATAAATGAAAGGTTTAGACAAAATCTGCTACTAAATGAAAACTTTGGTATCATTGCTTCAATTATCCATTATTTAAATATATTCGGGCTTTTTGCGGGTTGACCGTTCATGCCTAATTGTTGAATTTTCTGAAACTATAACGCGGAGGGTCTAATCGGGTCGGACAGGTATAGTTAGCTACTATTGGTTTGGATCTACTCACCCCCACAAACAAGTTTAACATTAAAATTTTTGTGCAAGCTCTTCGACTCATGATAGATTAGTGAAATGTAACTTTCACTAAAGAAAATATTGGCAAGCCGTTCCATCAAGCGACGAGCGAGTGCCAAGTCAAACGAGTCGAGTCCACATTTGGTGAAGCAAGTCGGCTAGCGTGGTGGGCTATATCAAACCGAGCAGCTCAACCAGATCCATTTAACGCCTCGTCTCAATTTGAAAAATTATTTAGAAGTTAAAAATAAGTAAATAATTTTTTGTTGGTCCAAATTTATAATTCTCATACTATATAAATAAAAGGTCATGTGTTAATTTACTTATAATTTAGCGAGACATGTTCAATATATCTCAAAAGGATGACAATGAGAATATATAGGTTTTCTTCTTTATGTAGATAAAATAAACTTGTAAATATAAGAAAATATTTTACTATATAAGTGATGAGGGCGTTTTCTAAACTTGTGTGTTATTTGAGATTACTCGAGGTGGTAACAGCCATGCAAAATAAACAAGGAGTGGGTTATCCTGTGGTTGAGGATGTTGGAGCTTTTGCAATGCGGGATAGGTTGCTCTTTGCCAAACAACATGGACTTGATGCGAAAAGTGGTCGAGTGTGATTTATTGTCATGATCTTCACTTTTATTATTTTCTTCTTCAGAGTGTTGCATAGCTATTAAATAGAAGATCAATTATGGTATGATTGACAATTAAGTACTTTGTATCAGTTTGGGAATAATAGGTGGTGAAATGTGTAACTAAATTGGGGTTTAATGATCCAATTGAGATATATTTTGAGTATAGTGACTCAATTGAATTTTATCTGGAAGCTCAGTGACCGTAGATGAAATTTATCTCTAATTCTATTTTTTCTACAGTTTCTTCCATTTCCCTGGATAAATCGCCCTGAACAGTGCTTTCCATTCGCTTTACATTCGACGACGCACGATTTGAGTTTATTGGAGAAACCTCGCAAATCCTTGGCAATCGAACTCTTTTTGCCGTCAGAATCGTCGTTCGCTTTCTTAAATTCATCAGCCAATTACAGGTCAGCCAAATCATTATTCAGAATATATGCATAATGGCAATACACACATTCAATGATGCTATGTGGATTGCAAATTCTCTATATATCATTGGTAGGAAAACAATTACGTGATCGATATCAATGGGTCTTCATTATTATTTACAGTTTTACTGATTTATGTGAATTTCATGAGTTGCTGATTTGGCGCTGACATACTGTTTGATAAAATTCTTGAAAGAGCTCTAGGTTCTTTAGGATCGTTGTCTTGCATTCATTTTTCCCTTACGCTTTTAATGTGCTAATCTTGCATTACTTTGTATGCGCCAACCTTATTACCGCCAACCATATCAACAAAAGCTGACTTAGCTTGTAGTTGGGAGAAGCTAAGACTGCTCGGTGCTTGATATTTGCAAGTCTGTGACATTTGGCTTAAAATAAACCTTTACGTGATTTTACAAATTAAGACAAAACTGGAAAGGTTATCGTTTTTTGTGTTTAACCATTTGCTGCAAGTAGATGTTCAAAGATCATATTTTTGTATTGCAGAAAAGCGTATAATGCAACGTCTAGGATCAAAGTATTGTAGGAGGATGTTGTCTTCTGTTGCAGCTCTGAGTGGAAATGCTTCTAGTCCTTCTAGAATTTCTAAACAGTCTTATACTATCATCTCAACTCTGCGAAGAAATTTTAACAATGTGCAGAAGCCTACAATTCCTAGTGAATTCTTGAAGTGGGGTTCGCTTGGTTTCTGCAGGACATCAAGCTTTGCCACTGGGTTCACACCATTGCAACGGAAGCCCTTGGAGTTGATTATTGATATAGAGAGGGCAAAGAATAAATCAACCGAAGAACTTGCAGACATTTGGGACGATGTAATTCTTTAAACCCGCTTGAAGATTTTTTTTCCTACCAGACAACTCTTTTTCACTTTATGACGGTTTTTTTTTTCCCCTTCTTTTCTAGGCTTCTCTATTTTTTCTGTTATTCTAATATAAATACAATTATATATATTTCAAATTGATATTGTGAACCAATTAAATATTTAGGCTTATTTGCAGACATGTTTGTTTAGCTTAATGAATCTGTTTAATTATCGACTGTGTTTACAACGCCATTAATGGATGAACCTCATTGTCCATTAATATCCTCTACCTGGTAATTCCCATTAATGGTGTACTTTGGTACCTCATTATTGCTAAAAGTTCAATTGCAAAACGATGAACTGTTAATCTTTATCAGATGATTGATCAATATCCTTATCGTGTAGACTGAATTCAGAAGAGATAAAACATAAAAGCAGAATTTAGAAATTACTTCCTATCCATTGCAGTGGGTGAATGAAATACTATATTTGTTAATTTCTTGCAATTTTTGCTATAGCGTATTCACTTTTTAGCAGATTTTAAGTGCTTTATGAATAAAGACTGCCGATATAGAGATATCCTCTCTCAATCTTTTTCTTCTGTGAAATTTTCGCCAGTGCCGTTAGTAATAGTTTGACAGTTGTCTGGCCTATATTTTTCTCAGTATCACTTGGGAAGAGGCCATATTGGTGTAACCATGAAAGCAACATTGTATCATCTACTGAATCAAAGAGCTGCAGATTGGTATACCACCTTCCTGATTATTGTTTTTGATTATGTCTTCCTTCCTTGTTTGTTGACGTTCTTAATCTTTCTCTGTAGCCGCTATTTTGTGATTCCAATGTGGAAAGGAAATGGTTATACAACCATGTTTTTGCAAGGTTGGACCTGAATTAACATTTTTCGGCAATTGATCTGCTGTGGATTTTGAATGCTTCATGCCGTTTACTTATGTTTTTGAACTGTCGTGCAGTTCAGATGCCACACATGCTTTTCACTGGTCTTGAAGATTATAAGGCAAGGGGAACTCAAGCAGCTCCATACTTCACTGCTTCATACTACACAGAATTTGCAGAGAGCAAGGACTTGGTGCTTATTCGTGGAGATATCGTGTTCACTAGCAAGCTGACCGACTCAGAGGCAAAATGGCTTCTTGAGACTGCTCAGTCATTTTACTTAAATGATGTCAGGTACAAACTGGTCGAGCGTTTCAACAAAGAACCCCGTGAATTTGAGTTCAAGGATGTCTTGCAGGCATTAGATATGCCTGTTTTGTAGTTTACTTGATTATTGTTTTACTTCGACATGTTTTTATTCTTGCTCGTGTCAAATGCATTACTTTTGAATGACAAACTGCAACTTACCGGCACATTTGTGATGTAATTGTTTAGCTTTTATGGCAACTTGATTCAAATATAAAGTGATTCATCCCCTCTCAATTTAGTTAAGAGGAGGAAGTAATGGCAAGGATAGATTCAAAATCACTATTAATTCTATGTTGAAATTACTAGAAAAATTATCCAAAATAAGTTATAATATTTAGTGAAATAGGATATCATTCTTGGGTTAGACCCTTGAAAAGAAGTAATTTACTCTAATTCACAAGGCTTCAACTTTCAAGGATTTACCCTAGTTTTTACTCAAATCTATGTACAGAGGATAAAAAAACAAAAAGAATGTACAATCTCACCTTTTTTTTTTAATATTCTTATCAAGAAAATTCACTTCCTGATGATAAATTCTTCTCCAGATTGTGTATCAATGTGTTTGATCCATTTTCTCTTGTCCCCCTTTCCATTTCCTGTTTTTGCCCCCACATGAGCAATATCTAGCCCCTTCTCCACGGGCAAAAACACTGATCTCACAATTCTTGATTTCCCATCAATGAAACTTTGCCACACGAACCCCGAGGCATCATGCGAACCCGTGTTCTTGCACACCAAAACGGCACCCCTTTGGCCTAACTTAGCCAACTGAAGTATTCTTGCATACTCGTCTTGCTTGCAATCCACCACGAGGAAATCAATCCCATCTAAACCTTCCATGGCCTCGTCCGGCCCCCCAACAATAACTTGGACAGACAAACCGGATTTTTGTACGGCTTTATTGTAATCTGATCTTGATGCTTCATCCGGGACTATGCAAATATGCCTTCCACCCGTATGATGACTCGCAAAGGCGAGGCCAATGCTCGTGGCTATGTCCCCACCTTGACACCATGTTTCGACTATTAGCCTCGCGTTCCATCCTGCTGCCATGGCTGATACAAGTTCGGCTATGCTCGATTCGCTAAAAGTTTTACACTGCAAAGAAACAAACCATTAGAAACTAGAAAGTGGTGAAAAATAACAAGTAAATAAGCAGCTTATAATTAGAAGATTATACTTACTGATTTTACAGTGTCAATATAAGCTTTTGAGGCTGTTTCTGGGGACCAAACTAGCTTCATGATCTCTTTCGATGCTGCTTCAATTCAAGTTGTGTTTTTCTTTGCTGAATATGGTGTAGAATTTGTGCCAAATTTGGCTTTTATATGAGACAAAAAGCAACTTAGAAATGTTTTTGTCAACTCAATGGCATTACTCCAACTTGGAGATTAGTATTGCAAATGGATTACGTATTGTTTTCATTTAGCCGACCCACTCGGACTATAATCTTTGTTTAAAAGTTAATTTTTTTAAAAATTAAACTATCAAAATAAGTTCGCAATATTATTTGAATTAATCTATCTCTTCTGGACTGTAACGCGTTTTAATATAATAGGTTCGCAAGATTAGTACTAATTAAACTAATGTTTGCTTATAATTTAAGCAATAACTTATGTAATGGAGAATCAGGATTAGATTACAATGTATAACGCGTTGATAGTGAAAGCCCACATCTTTTTTCAATCTAAATCCCTAAATAAGCAATGGCCTCCGTGGACAATATTGGACACAATTGCACGCGATAACACCAAGAAAAGAAATTTAAATCTCATCCAAAGTATCGTACAATGCTATCAAATATTTCACAAGAACATATTTTGTAGACAATATTTAACACGATTGCACATTATAACAACCTATAAATAAATCAACTTTGATTTTTCGTTGATTAAATTTTAAAAACTGGCCCAAAACGAGTGAAAGGTCCAAAATATTTCAAGAAATGATCTCTTATGTGTCTTAAAACTCTCTCTCTTTGATCGAAACTCAGAGTAGATAAAGAAAAAAAGCAATGGTTAGACTTAGCGTGAACTAGGCAATGCCTTAATAAATGTTTAATCAATCAAGAATTTTACATATCAAAATATTATTTAATCTAACATATTAAATACGATTTAAAATCAAACTTTTTCTCTTAATATAATGTTTTTTTATTTAATTGCAAGTTGTGCTAATCTCTTGTTTAATCAAAGAAATGAATGATTATGAGTTTTGATTTTATTTATTTTTTTGTGATATATTAGATAAGTGATCAATATGCGTTGACTTTAACTTTCATTTTATACTATTTAGGCGAATGAGATCCATTTTTCAAAAAAAAGTAGGAAAGTTTTCAAAACGTGAAAATTTTCTTTTTTGAACGTGTAACTAAAAATAAGTGGGGAGAAAAGCGATTTTTATATAATCACTTTAAATCAAGATATTAGTGTGCTAGATCGAGACGAATTTAAGGAAATAAAGCTATATTGCAAGAATCTAGCTAAATTAGTCGATTTGATCAAAATTCAGTCCCAAGTCACATTTAGAACACAAAAAATGCATCTTAACTAGTTTTCTTCTTTAATCCATTGTATTTTGTTGATGTAATATATCTACACATGCATAGTGTATTGGATTACGTCTATTTGGTGGGGACTAAAATCAGATTTTTACCGTTCAGTAATTTATATTCAAAGTAGGCCTGTTTGAGCCCTACTTTTGGCTCAAAACATATTTTGGAAAAATATATTATTGAAGAATGTATGGTTAAAAAAATAAGAAAAAAATTTGGATTATATGCAATATTATTTTATTGAAAAATATGTTGTTTAAAATAAGATAGGGAAAAATGTATTTTGAAAAAAAGGGGTATCAAACAAAGGCAAAATTTGTGATTGAAAAGTTGTGAAATTTATGAAATATGTGATTAAAATTAATTATTGACTCAGACTTAAATTAAATCGTGTCAAATAAGGGCTAAACAAAATCTAGTGAAAGCAAATATGGGCCGCCAATTGCGTTGACCACAAACTTGTGAACTTAACAATCTCATTGGTTGGCAGGATTGCCACGTCACATGTACTTAAAAAATTACCAAAATCGTTATTTATCATGATGATAAATTATCGATAGTGTGATAACTCATTATTGATAATGTGATACCTCATTATCGATAATGTGACAACTCATTATCTTTCAAAATTTTCTCGTCCCCCTCTCTCATATAAATTCAATTGTCAAATTTTATTATTCTACATAAACTGTTATATCACCGATGATTTATCATTAACATTATTTAAAAAGAAATGAAATGTTCCTAAAATATATCAAAATTTAAAATAAAACATAAACTCCGATTGACAACCATTATTTCGAAATTCTTTATTTTTCATATTCTTTGTCAATCACATATTCACATAATTAAATATTTTGTACGAAAACTTTAAAGTTTTCTATACTTTTTAACCCGTCTCTCTCTCTCTCTCTCTCTCTCTCTCTCAAAATTCACTATTCAAAACATTATTTTGAACGAATAATGGCCATCAAAGGGGGCTAAATAAAGGGTCACTCAGCTATAATCAACGATAATACTTTAATAATTCAAGTTTAAAATGTAACTCAATGATCACCACACAATAATTACATCAGTAGGATGGATTCCGTTTCATGACTTGTGACAAATTGTCCATATGAAAATGGTAATCCTATGTGACACGATTAGACGTTAGTTCAAGCCATATCAACCAAATCACTGGGATGGATTTTAATTCACGATTAGACTTTTATATGTTGATGCTTTGGTCTGAATTAACATTTAAAATGTGGCGCATAGGTTGCCATCTCCTACATGGACTTGGTTTTGCCATTTCCTCATCCATTACAACACTAAAATTGACTCGCCGCTACATCAAATAGATTTTTAATAGACAGAGGTGTCAATGGATCGAAGCTTGTCCCAAGCTCAAGCTTGGCCACTGAACTCATGGGTCGAGCTTGCCAACAAGCCCTTATATGTATGTTTGTGTGTGTGATCAAACTGTCACATTTTCAAAAATTGTGATTGAAAATGTGCCGTTTGATCACATTTTTTTCACGAGCCCATGAGCCACTCGTTCGAGCTCCAAATTTTTTTGAGGCTACGCTCGTGCTCGTCACTAGACGAGCCCGAACAATCCATGGATCAAATCCAGACGAGTCGTTCGGCCCAATTGCCGCCCTACAAATAGCAAGATGATATTTCATAGATTGTAGCACATGGATCGAACCCGGACGAGTCTTTCAGCCCAATTGCCGCCCTACAAATAGTAAGATGATATTTCGTCGATCGTCACACTTGTAAAGTGTAATTATTGTCATCTTGCAATTTATTAACACTATCTAATATCGTAATATGTCAAAATTCTAGTACGCGACAATCAAAAGGACAACAAATTTTAACACTTGGTACAATGAACCCGAATGAACAAAGCCGAGAACAAGACTTCTCTTTTCAGCCAAAACGTTTGCAACCTCGGTTACAATGGCAGATACTAATACTTCAAGAAAGAGAACAAAGGAGACGGATAAAAACATCATCAAGACCTTAAGAAAAGCTTCAACTAACGTAGGAGAACAAGATTACTATAATAACACACAAGGACAAGATCAACGAACATGAATTTATAAGCCAAGTTAGATAAAATTTGAAGATATGCAAACATAACCGACAATCCAATCCAACAACTCAATTATGAAATTTCATTAACAATCTACAATTCACATTCGAGTTCAGATCAAGAAATAGAACATGGGTTGGGGTTCGGGATGGAGTAAGCATAAATAATCAAATATAACATTCTGTGAAAAATATTGATCCACGAATTCTCAAACCCAAATATCAAATATGTGAACACGGCCACAATTGAAGTGTTCAATAATCAATACTACGGCTCTTGAACCCTTAAGCATGTGGAGCAAAATCACTTTTTTGTTTTTCGATCAGAGAACGCAATTCATAAATTTGTTCGAACACGAACAATAAATAAGCCCGTTTCGTTTAACTAAAAAATGGGCCAAAAATCTTAACCACATGATAAAATCCACAACTTTTATCAACTTTTTAAACATGCATTTCATTAACTTTTACTACTAAAAATCTTACTTTCAGCAAAACCAAATTGGGGCTGAGTTTCATTTTGAACGCTAAAAAGTGGCCATTTTCTTCATATCCAAAACCTATCAAAATAAATAACATGAGGGATCATTTTATTTGCTATATTAGTGTAAATATCGAAAAAAAGAATTTCTTTTCATGGCGGCTCATACAATGAAACTGCATATAAGATAATAAAACAGAAACGTTCTTAAGTAACTGTACTTCAGAAATTCTTTGACAGCATATATTCAAAACAAGAAGACTATAGAGTGATATCCAAGATGCCAGTTGTTCAAGTTTATGACATATGCTATTGCACAACAATGTTAAGCAGGTGTTCTAACTTTTAAAAGTTCGCTGCATATCAGAAAAGATGAAAAATGAGTAAACCATGAAATGCAGATGCAATAAGAAAAATGAACCTCCCTTAGGCCACTGAGGTGAGTATCGAGCTGTAAATTTCAGGGCCCGTGGAATTAGTCGAAGTGCGCGCAAGCTGACCCGGACATCTACGATTATCAAAAATAAGAAAAATGAACCTAAGCCCTTTCTACATTGGCAGAAACAGAGAGGATTCAATACAAAACTCGAGCAGTTACAAACCACGGAACATTAAAAAAATTGACAAAATTATACCCATAATAGTATGTATGAAACATTAAAGTACGAAGTTCAAAAAAAATTTAAACATCAGTTTAATTAAGGAGAAAAAATGAGCTATTCGACTACAAATATTACTGATAAGGTGGCATGAATGCTCTTTTATTAAACCAGAATAAATATAGTGAAAAAAACTAAAGTAAAATGTCTACCTGCACATAGAATAGCTCAATGATAATGTGGAAAATAAATGAAAAGACTCTATTCTGTCCATAAACATCAAAGAGTGCCAAGCAAAATGCATGGCCGAACCATTCTCACAATTACAAAAGATACAGTAGGGAACGAATACTCAAATCGGCATTTATTCACAACGTAAGCAAATAGACCGCCGAAAATGAAGTAGGATATATAGATTTTTTTTTTCATTTTTTTCCCCAAATTCACCAAGCACTCTTTTTCTTTGAACCATAGTAATGGAGATACCATTTCACAAACTTTTTCAACCCTGTTTCCAAGTCAGTTGTCGGTTTGTACCCTAGCTCCTTTCTTGCCAAAGTTATGTTTGCGTGTGTGAACAAAACGTCTCCATTCCTCGGCATGGTCAACACCTTTTTCTTTGCTTTCACCTTCAACAACTTCTCCAAGATAGCCACAAGATCCTCAACTGGCACAGGATTTGTGTTCCCCAAATTATATATCCTAAACTGCGCCACACCTTTCTTCTTCCCACCGTTTCCAGTACTCTTCTTTGCAGTATCCAATGCTGCTAAACAACCCTTCACCACATCATCTACGTAGGTAAAATCACGCGCCACGGTTGAATGATCAGCCCCTTCAAATATCTTAATCTCTTTCCGTTTCAAAATATCCTTGGTAAAGAAAAAGTAAGCCATATCTGGCCTTCCCCACGGCCCATAAACTGTGAAAAACCGCAGCCCGGTAATTGAAAGTCCATAAATATGATTATACGTATGTGCTATTTCTTCACCAGCCTTTTTAGTAGCTGCATATAAACTAGCAGGCTGGTCTGTTCTATCTTTTTCCGAAAAGGGTACCTTAGAATTAAGCCCGTAAACAGAGCTGCTCGACGCCCATACTATACTAGGTTGTAAGGTTGCATTTTTACATGCTTCGAGCAAGCTAACAAAACCATTAACATTACTATGAATGTAAGAATTTGGGTTCTGCATTGCATACCGTACTCCGGCCTGGGCTGCTAAATGCATCACATGAGTAAAATGCACAGTCTGGAAGAGCTTCCTAAGCAAAACTGCGTCGTTTATATCAGCCACAATTACATACACGCCGGCACGATCAAGGAGTGATTTTCGGGACTTTTTCAGCCCAGTGTCATAGTAATTGTTGAAATTATCAAGACCAACAACGCCATCTCCACGACGTTTGAGCGAAAGAGAGACATGGGTTCCCACAAACCCAGCAGCACCAGTAACTAGTACCGAAAAGCCCGTCTTGGATCGTGGTCGGGCCGAGTTCCGGGCCTTCACTTCCCAGTTCGAGTCCAAGTGCATCCGGCCCGTATAACTGCTGGTATGAAGGCTACGGCGTTTGGCGGCGGAGCTACCATCCGGAGGGGAGAAACAGAAGAAAAGCAGGATGAAAATAACAGAAAGGAAAGACCAAAAAGCAAGCCTAGGGTGGCAGCGCAGGCGGTGAAAACTATACGCTGAAAACTTATCGGGCTTGAATTTCCCAGTGGACGAAGGGATGATCGGGTCTAAATGAGACAATATGGGCTTCAACTGGGTCATTGAAATTCACTGGTTTTCACTGATACAATTTTCTTACTGCAAATTGGACTGTAAAAGATTAGGGTTTGAAGTGTAAAGCAATTGGAATTTCCCTTTTCTACAAGAAATAGATCTTTCACACACTGATCGTCTACAGTTTTCAGAATTGAAGAAAAGGGTAAACGGAAACGAGTTTTGTAGGTGGGGCCGTGGTGGGGGAGCGGTGCGTGGTGGGTGGTTAGAGGTGGGGGTCGGCTGGAGTCTGGTGAGAAAGAAAAAAGTACAATAATTTACATGAACCAATGTCCTAGGGACTATAAAAAAGGAATATTTTAGAAGGAAAAAAAATCACTTTTCATGGTATAAAAAAAAAAAATAGAGGTGAAGAAAAAAAAATCATNCTTTTCATGGTATAAAAAAAAAAAAATAGAGGTGAAGAAAAAAAAATCATTTAGGCCTGTTTGAAAAGCCAAATTTTTCATGAAAGTTGGAAAAGCAATTCCATTTTCTTGGTTTTTGTTTGTTTGATGAGTCAAATTTTCACTACCAAATGTTTTCTTGTGTACTGCTTCACACGCCAAAATTCTTTGTTTTTAAGGAATTCCTTTTCCCACATAAAAGGTGGAAAAATGAATTCCATTTGCTGCTTTTTTTTTTTTTAATTTATTTTTGTTGATGGAAACAAATTTCATAATCAATTGTAAAAAAAAAATCACTTTAATAGAGAATTTTAATGTAAAACAAAACTAAACGAATACTAAACTTTGATGAAAAAATGATTTTTTAGAGAAAAAAATTTTCATTTTTTTTTTTTTACTTTTTGACAATGGAAATAAATTTCATAACCAATAATTGAAAAAAATATCACTTTAATGGGCAATTTCCATGTAAAACAAAACCAAACGAATACAAAATTTAAAAATTTTCCAGGTGGAAAATTATATCAATCAAACACATTTAATTAACAATTCCCTACAAAACAATTTCTAGGTAATTATTTTCCTTGGAATTCATTTTCTTTTCACTCATTTTCCACCCTTACAATCAAACGCACCCTTAGTGTTATATTGGCTACTCAATTTGATTTTGTTCGACCATGATCACCTAACTTCATATTTATTATCATATTAACCATCCAATTTGATTATGTTAAATAAAGTTACCGCGCGACTTGACTGAAACTAATTATGAAGTTGGATGGTTATAGTGAAACAAAATTAAATTGGATGGTCAATGTTACACTAAGTATAAAGCTGGAAGGTCATAATAAAATCAAATCAAATTAGACGGCTAATATGACACTAAATACGAAATTGTGTGGTCATTGATGAATTTAATTCGATTTGAAATTCTACTCGATTCAAGTAGTATCGCACAAAGCAATAATGTGACAACCGACCCTGTTTGGTGGTTATTCTTTTTGAAATGCATTGTTTTAAATAGTGAATTTTTGAAGAATATGTGTTTATAAAGTAGGAAAAAAAATTTGAATTTAAGTGTAAAATATTTTATTATGTAAATGTGATTAAAAATAAGAATGTAGAAAAAAGAGTTTTGAAAGACAGACGGTTGCTCATTAATACAATTTTTTATAGACGGTATTAAGTTTCTGTTTGAGATCTATTCTATAAAAATTCATTTGTTTTGAAATCATTTTTAATCACATTTTTCAAATAAAATAATTTTACACGTACTCAAAATTTTGTTCCTAGTTTTTAACTATATGCTCTTTAAAAAATTGCTACTATAAAATTCATTTTCTCAAAAAATGATGCTCCAACGAACCTTAAATAAAACCCAACCCGTTAGTGCAATTCAACAGACTTGACTTCCTATAGCATGGTTGTTAAAAATGATTAAATAATACTCAATAATATTAAAAATGCTTTTAAATGCGTTCGTTCGAATAATTTTCTGAAAGTAATTTATCTTTTAGAGGGAGCTCACCTAATATAATTTCATTTGGACAGCAGCCGTGCCAAATGGATCCTCAGAAAGAAAAGAAACTAAAATATTACTTATTGTATCGTGTTCCCGTCGAATCCTACCCAATAATATATACCAAATATGGATTCGATCAACAAAGTCACAGAAAAAGTAATCTAACATCCAAGGAAAGAAAAAAGGCAAAAGGTGAAGTTATAATTACAACCACCATAATCAACCCAACATGAACTAGTGGAACTCAAATTGCCCCTAGAATAAAAGAGAATGCTAATAGATTACTGGGAGATGACAAAGAAGAAGATAATTAATTTCTCACTAAAATGCAGTATGAGAAAAAGCAAAGTTAATTGGGAATAAAGAAAAATGAGGCCCTAATTAACAACACCCTAATTAACAACAAACAAACATCACAACAGATTTAAATTGCTAACATTTTCGACGGGCGGATTAACATGATCTTGGTTGACCTTTAATACGATTCACTGACAACATCGGGTTGTTCATGATCACCTCGTGAGCTTGAACGTAGAAGATCTTCAATCCGGATGGCAACTTCCTTAATCGACGGCCGTGTGTCCGGGTGCTGAGCTGTGCAGTCGATTGCAAGCTGCAATAGCTGCACCATTTCCTCCTCAACATTCTGGTAACGGAGGAGCTGGAGATCAAAAACTTCAGAAGTCCACTCCTCGCGAACTACTGACTGAACCCATCTTGGCAGGTCCACTCCTTCCTCGTTCAAGAGGGAATGAGTTGGTGCCTTCCCTGTAAGAAGCTCCAAAAGCAATACACCAAAGCTATAAACATCAGCTTTCTGGGAAACTTGGCGAGGATCTGTCACTTCTGGTGCACGATAGCCAGCAACTCGAGTGGGAGAGGATGGGACTCCAACCAATTGGTTTAGTCCAAAATCTGAGACTCGTGGCTCATAGGACTTTGTGAGCAGGATATTAGACGATTTGATGTTTCCATGGGCGACGTTCGGACCTTGAGAATGCAGATATTCAACACCAAGTGCAGTTCCAAGTGCAATTCGAGACCTCAATTCCCAATTTAATGGTGTCCTACCACCTCCTTTGTTACCTGAGCCGAAGAAGATGACGATGATGATATAGGAAGCAAATTGTACCAGATAAGTTCGCATATGTATCAATTTCAAGGAAATTAGAACGAATTAAAATAGTATAGCCAAAAAAAAAAAAGCCAAGTACAAACTACCCAGAGTATGATCATATTCAACTTAAAAAGAATTTAGGATCAAAGTAAGAATGCAAATAATAACTACAGAAGTATATGCAAGCAAAAGGAAAAAAGTCAACTCACTACAGAAATATCAAATCAATGGCAGCATCACTGAGGACCTTGTTAGATAGGAAGAAGACAGTAAGCCCATATGTAAGAATCTCATCGGATCAAATTTACATAAGCAACTTGAAAAAATCCCAAGCACAAATTACTAACAAGCAACCCCTTGAATCAATTTACTTAACAATCATAAGCAATTCTAATCGATCATCAAGTTCTGGTTTTCCACAAAGAACTAAGCATAAATATGGCAAGCAAAACTGTACGTGTGTGTGCGTGTATTGGCTTGACTTCTTAGCGAACCAAGAAGACATGCTGGCAGACGCATACGTGCAGGATTGATTATACTCACACACATTGTGTAACAAAACTCAAGAAGAAATTAGTCCTATCATCAAAATTAGAAGCCAGATCAAGAAACTGTACCTTAACAAAATTGAACAAGGCAAACACAGAATAAAATGGTGGAAGCAAAGATTTTAAAATCTCACTCACCATGCAAAAGTGCAGACAAGCTTCCCATTGGCATATAATCATACACAAGAAGCTTTTCCTCCTGGCTATAATAATAAGCCCTGAGAGGCACCATATTCTGATGATCCAAGTTCCCAACCCCTTCAATTTTCTCCCTGAATTGCCTTTCCAAAATGGTCACATCCTTCAACCTCTTCACAGCAACTACAGTTCCCACTTCCAAAACCGCCTTATACGTCGTCCCAAACGTACCCTTCCCCAGAACCTCGGCGGATGCCCTCAACAGTTCCTCCAAGTTAAAAACCTGCGAAGCGTTCGCAAAAAACGCCAATTTCTTGGTTTCCTCGTTTACGCCACCACCAATTTTCCCCTTTGCATTCCCATTTGCAGTCAATGCAGCTGCAGCTGCTTCTGCCACCGAAAATTCATTACTCGTTCCACCATTCTCCGGCTCCGCAAGCGGCTTTTCACCTATCCCAGCTTCTTGATTCTTAAATGATGTCACATCTATGGACCTCGCCTTGTTTCCACTTCTCTTCCTACAGAAAATAAATAGCAACAACAATAATATAACAAATCCCACAACAGATCCAATTACAATCCCTGCAATTGCACCACCAGACAACTTCTTTTTCTTACTTTTCCCTAAATTTTCCACCCCATTTATATTTCCACTACTCACAGCAGTCGCAGGCGGAGTTTCCGCATTGGCCTCGCAAGCATTTTCAAGAGGCTTCCCACAGAGCGAATTTCCCAAGAAAGCATTTTTAGGCATGTCCTCAAGTCCTTTCGGCACGGACCCATTCAAGCTATTGAAAGAGACATTAAACTGTTGAAGACTCGAAAGCTCAATGTCTGGCAGAACACCGGTGAACCCATTGTATTCCAAATAAAGTGTGCGCAAACGGGTCAAATTGTTAAACCCAGACGGGATTTCACCAGAAAAATTGTTCTGAGCGAGATTCAATCGCACTAGAGAATGAACAGGAAATAAGAAATCCGGTACCGGACCTGAAAATCGATTTCCGTGAAGATACAAATTCCGTAGCTGAGAAAGTCGGGAAATATCGGAAGGCAAAGGACCAGACAGATGGTTAAGGCGGAGACTAAGTGTCCTCAGGAGAGTAAGATTAGAGAGTGTATTCGGCGGAATGGTACCAGAAAGGGAGGAAGCGGGAAGGCGGAGGGCAATAACACGGTTGTTCTCACACAGAACACCCTGCCAATTACACGGCGTAGATAAAGTTACATTCCAAAAAAAAGTACGGCCCCCGACGGCGGCGCGGAGGGCCAAAAGG